TTTYYTTTTTTTTAGGAAGGATTACAAGAAGAGACACGTTTCACAGCTTACATATGGATAATGTAAGAAATTCCTGTGTAATATCTGCATGGAATTTGTAATCACACCTCTTAAGAGTGATGTTACAGTGAAACTGTAAGGCAGCAGATAAATTTTGAAAAGCTACCTGTCTGAAGGGTATGCACAAGAGATATTCTGCAATTCTAGTTCCATGTACTCCAAAACATTCAGCTGAAAAGTATGAYAGRTAATTAAYTAGGATAACAGCAGTGCTTGCAATRCTAMGAAAGCCTGTATCYACTGATACATTTATTCTTCTTTCACCACCCCTCCAGATGAAGATGAGTTACTTGGCTTTTAAAATCAGGTTTTACCAGTATTCACACGTGGGACACTGTATACATATATCAAGAGAAATAAAAATTAAGGAATGCACCTTGCTCTTCCCTTGGGGATTATTTTTCAAGTGCCCCAGTGGAACAGTAATCCAGTCAGTAATAAGGAAGTGTGCAGTCAATGAACAGAAATTAGGCAGAGGAAATTGGTAAAAAGCAATAGCAAATAATCACCTAGGTGTAAACTTCTGAAGATACTCAAGTCTCTTCCTGCTCTWACTGACCTCGATGGGAGGTCAATCTTACTGACCTTTTACACTTTCCTGATTCTGACACTCAGGCCAATAGGTCACTTGATGCCAGSTCTGGATTCTGACACCTTACTATTTAAACTTACTTTCAAATGTGTTCAGGATGCATGTGGCTCTCATGGCAARGTGCTTTTGTGCATTGTAGCATTAGAATCAAGCTAGAAGCAAAAACCTAGTCCAGTCCAAACTCAGCAGAAAACTTCCCACTGATAATGGTTTAACGAAGCAAATACAATTTGAGTAAGAGCACAAGGTTAGGCACTCCAAAGCAGCAAACACCAGAGTATTTTASAAAGAAGATTTTAATTATTTGGAAGAAACAGGTTTTCTGAAATACAGACTCAGAACATAAAGACTAAGTAATTTATTAGTCATAGCTCTTGTTATGGACAGATGGTTCCTACAGCAAAAATATAGAAAAATAATTTGAATTCAAGTCTAGAAGACCTGCAACTTTTCATATGCAAAAAATAAATCCAACTAGTCATAGAAAAGTGGCTGATAAGATGGAGAACAGGGCTGTGCATCTGAATAGCCATTACTATATACATTCCAAACTTAAATGAGCATATTTCCTCAGCCTCATAAAAATAGTTTGTCCATGAAAAATACCAATATGTAATACATTTAATACAATTTATACTTGAATTTAAAGATCTCAGATTATGGAATAATAATAAGCTAAAATCATCAAATGAAYTGCTTTTCCAACTCTTCTTGTACAGAACAATACTTTCTGTGTATACAGTGTGCATGCATGTATACATGCACAGAAAGAAAGAGGTGTRTAGAGATTTGCTGAAAAATTCTACAAGATCATTTGATTTCATTGCAGACCACAGCATACCAACTTCCTGGAATCYTTCTAACACAGGCTGTTCTATGAAATAATAATGTTGACTGGTATAACCACATATCTACAAGAGGTTTTTGCTATTRTGAATTTAATTATCAATTTATCTTTCCAATCTAGATTTCATTTTTCTAATACGTAAATGCTGCTTTGGTAAGATTTCATACAGTCATGACAATATAAATGTGAACATATTGGGGAAAGCCTTGAAAGTATGATTTAATTTTGATAATTAGTAAGTAATAAAGATATCAACAAGTTTTAAGCAGCAAAAGATTTAAAAGACTATGTTCTGACTTATTTTCTTCACCAACAAGCAAGAAACTAAAATGAAGAGATTAAATTTCTCTGCCTGCCATCACTGTGACATTCTAAGCCACCAAAGTCACAGCTGGCACTGAAAGAACAGTGGCATCAGCAGAGACATCCATCCTTGCAGGACATAAATTGCACTGGGACACTCTGCCAACACTGCCCTGGAAAGGCCTGTGCTCTGTGGTGTCCGGGGTGTGATGCTTCCGTCGCGTCTTCTCCGAATGTGTCGCGTTCTCTGTGGTCCTTGCAGTTGTAGACTGCTCCTGATTTTTCACAGCTCCTTTATTTTTGGATCGGAAGCTGTTGTGCTGCTGTCTTCTGTGCTCAGATCTGGAGCCACTCTTTGTGTTTTGATCTGCCTCACTACTGGCACCTTGTGACTTGAGAGATCCATTGAGCCGCATGTTTTGGTGCTGTGGGTTGAATCTTCGTCTCTGGTTGGAAGGCCCATTCTACCCAGAAAGAAATTGGATAACTGTTAGATTATCTGCATCTTTCCAACAGGMCAAGAAGCATAGCAATCAAAACTAACAGTGTTACTAGCAGAGGGAAAAAAGTCTCTTCATAATAACTAAAACCAAAACTATGAGTACCATACTACATCTGAGTAAGCCTGGAGATTCAGAAGCTGGACTCCTGGGGTGTCCTGTGCAGGGCCAAGAGTGGGACTTGATGCTCTTTGTGCATCCTTTTTGACTTGGGATACTCAGTGATTCTCTGAGCAGTTAAGAAGTACTGAAGAACTTGATACTGACTGTTTTTTTCCAAAATCATGAATATTGCATTCCTAGTAAAGCGTTGTGCAAKTACCACAGTATGACTGCAGGAAGAACAGACATTCTCCTGTAAATTAAAGTCAAGTGAAGAACAGTCATTGTGGAAGATATCTCCACTGTGATATTTTGCTCAGAGAATGCTTTGATCCTTAGTGAAGTGGCTGAATTACTTTTATTTGCACTCCTGACAGGTCAGCTCATTCCATACATGCACTAATATTATGCAACACTCTTACATTTCCCTTCAGGCATCTACTTGAGCCTAAAAGCCCTACTGGGACAAAATTCAGACCAATTCAGGGGCAGCTTTACCTAAAAGCAATAGTACAGGGACATTCTAAGGTTCTATTTCAACAAAATGTAATTCATATATGTATCATATATATGTATGATATAATGCTACTAATATAGCCCAATACTATAACCTGCATTATAGAGCTTCTGAAACAATATGCTTTTAAACCTGGCAGGATTGTACTTTTTTAAAATGGGTCTAATAATTGTGCTTCAACAGCAGATCAACTGACTTTAGTCAAGGACTAAATGTTTCTCCACCATAGCAGTTAACTACAATAGAGGGTTTTTCTTTTTCACTCTATTACTGCCACTAGTCACTTCTAAACAGACTGCTGTCTTTACTCATATGGTATTTCTGGTATTTCTGCTTTGCAYGTTCACACTGACTTGAAAATGAAGATGGAAAATATATGTTTATACACCTTCAAAAGCTTCATGAAATACAGACTGCAAACCAGTATTTGATTTCGTATCAACAACTTTCAATGCCACATATATTCCTGAAAGTTTTGAATTAATTTAGTTTAGTTCACAACTGACATCTTACCTGCTTATTTGTTGGGACTCCTTGAGAAGGAGATTCTGTAGGATTGGAAGGAGGATGACTTTGTACTTTACTGCTGGCTGTTTTATTATCAGAGTTCTTGGCATTATTAGAGGCCTTTCGGGTGTGTGTGTTTTGCTTGCCAGTTGTTGCATGTGAGGTCACTGAAGACAGCACTAAACTACATGGTGGTCTTGAGGAATAGTTGTTCTTTGGGTGAGAAACTACAAAAMAAGGATTATGTGTTATCAGTTAAATGATCAAAATCTAAACGTGAGGCGGTAATCTTACCCTTCCTACAGTTAATTTTGGAAGCATTGTTCCAGTCTCACTTTAAATAATGAAGTAAGCTAACTTAAGCTAACTATTGCAGTATCTTGGAGTTAGGCCATAGTGTTTTACACCTGTAAATCTGCCTCACTGYAAAGCACTTCTTGAGATAAAAGAASCAYTGTGGTGGCACTGCACTAAAACTGGAAGGAGCCTGGCAGAAGGCCAGGCTTTTGGCATCCAAGAGAGCTTTATTTATTCCTCTTTAAAGGAGACTGGTAAAAAAGCTTCTTCTGTATCATGGACATCTATAAAAACTGGAACTGAATGCACTAACCCACTTCATGCAGACCACAGCAGTCTGCACCACCTACTGCCCATCTCAGTATATTCCCACTCTCTACTTCTCCATAATTTGAGATCATCTAATTTATTAAGCACTGCCATGTCTGGATATGAAATGCACCAAAAAAATATTTGATTCCTCTCTGCATTTTTTCAAACTGTTTCTCCAAAACGGCCCCCAAGCAGTCTTGAAGAGGATTTTGAGGCTAATAAAGTTCTTGATCTTAATTTGCTGTTCTCATTTTTATATTTCCTTCTGGTACAGATGAAAAATTTGAGGCTCACTACAGAGAGACACCTGTTGTTTTTATCTAAGAGGCACTTTTACTTTTTCACTTCTAGTACAGATAAAGAAAATGAGGGATCATTTTAGTAAATAAGCATCATCTGTTAGGTTTTCTGAGGATCACCAACATCAGCTACTTCTCCCACTAGGTGTCCTCCTCAGAAAAACAATGCAATGATCTGCACGAGGAACTGGATTTTCTCTCCCGAGTTCAGTGAGGCAAACTATCCCTGAGTTGTATTAATTCTCCTCTGTCTAAAACAGACTGCTGCACATGGGCACTCATATAAAAACTCAGATGCTTGTCATAAAAATGTATTTTTAACAAAAGAAGATGTACAAGGAAAGGATACAATCCTCCACTGGGCATTCTACATCAATCCAATTATTTTTGTTTTTTTCCTGTCCTTTGAGTATATGCTGTCTATGCTCTCCTCATGCTAGAACATTCCTTCCTTTGCACAAACTCCATGGGTTTGGTTATTGCTTTAAAGCCCTTAACAGTGGCTGTTCCTAGCTATAGGCCTTGTACACTCTCCTTTTTTAGGGGTATTTCCAGTTCCTAGCAGGGTATGGGCTCCACTGAGAGATGATGCCAAGAGAAACATCTTTTGCACTGAAAAGCTCTTGTCAAAGACATCCATCAYCAATCAGTTGCTCATCTAAGGTCAYTGAGTGCAGCYACAAGCAAAGTTCTTCASACAGTCWGTGCMCTATCAGTCATTTCTAGGATGACACTGCTTCCCTGCTAAYAGCTGCTCTTTTGACTTCACTGACCTGATTTGAACAGGCCTACATCAAACCGWGCTTATGTAATGCTTTACTGAAATGAGGTATAAATAATTAACTTGCAAATTAACTGCAGCTGGAAGTTATTTAGGAAAGTAGTTCAATGAGTTAAAAAAAAAGAAGTCTATGGTTGTATCAATAGCAGCTGTGGTATTATTAATCAAGGTAATCTTTATGGAATYTTCAATCTCTAATGCTTCAGGGTATTAGATAGGGTCTGWGAGGTGACTGTAAACAATTAGAAGCATTACTGGGAAGTTTATGYCTTCCTCTGAAACATCCTGGGWTGGTTTCATTGAGASACAGGATATGAGGCTAGATGGATCTTCAAAGTGTTCTACAAAAGCAATTTTTAYGATCTAGTGAGTTAAACAGGCTATGCCTCCAAACAGTTCTTTAGCTGTGCAGTCAGAAGCTTGTATTGGCAGACTGTGTAGTATTTTCTGTTTTCTATTTTTAGGAACTACTTGAAAACATTTATTATTTTCCTTCCACCAAGACACACTAGTTCAGTACTGTTTTACCAGTTTTCTGAATGGAATACCATAGGACAGGGTAACATACTGGGCAAAGCCTTATATAGTTTGCTCTTTTTTCAGGGAAAATAAGCATGACAAAGATGAGAAACAGGCTCTTACTTTGCAACAGGGACATGATACTTGAAGCAAAAAATGTGAACCTGAATTTCCAAGCAGAAGGGCAGATGATTTGGAAATAGGAGCCTGGAGAAAAGGAGGCTGAGGGGAGACCTTTTTGCTCCCTACAAGTACCTAAAAGAAGGTTGTAGCATGGTGGGATCAAGTCCCTTCTCCAAAGTTACAAGGAAAAAGAAGAGAGGAAATAGTCTCTAGATGCACCAAGGGAGGTTTAGATTGGATATTAGGAAAAATTCTGTTATGGAAAGGGCTGTCAAGGATTGGAACAGGCTGCCAGGGAAGTGCTCAAAAAACATGTGAATATGGCACTTGAGGGCATGATTTAATGGAGAACATGGTGGTGACAGCTATACTTAGTGATCTTAGAAGTCTTTTCCAACCTTAATGATTCCATGATTTGGGACTCCATATGGATCCTGACAAACCCACTGAATACTGTTAAAAGCTGGGGAGTTACTTCCTAGCAGGAGAGATCTGAATTGAGCTAGTTAGACTATGCTCACACAGAGAAGCTTCAAATTTACTATTTATTTATAAATTACTGAATTTGTGTATTCCCTAGAGCTGGGGATCATGTTTAGATTGAAAACTCCAAGTGATCTCAGTAATAGCTGGAAATCTCTGRCAAAGATGGTACAGTGCACCTGCAGATGGGCTGTGCAGCACAGGCACAGTGAGTCTAACACACTGCATACTGTAAATTTGACCTGTGTGTTAATCCAGAAACACCACTCACATGGGGCTTGCTGCACACACACCCACAGGCAGCACACGTTCTGAGAAACTCAGTGAGAGGAATCATCAGCACTCACTTTCTCCACAGAGCTGAATCTGGGTCTTGAGCTGCTCTGTATCACAGGAAAATCGRGCAGACCTGCCCAGCTCTTCATCGTATTTCCGTTCACTCACAAAGTGCTGCAAAAACAGACACRTTAACAATGATTTACTTTGTGTGTATGGATGGTAAAAGAACCAATCAATACTTACAATCATTTTAAGGCTCAACAATTTTTTGACCCTGCCCTGTAGCCAAGATTTCTCTGCAGAACCAAGTCTTTTCCCATCTGTTCCGAATTACATGGGTAGATCACTGCCACACTTGGGAATTGGGTCATTTCATCAGACAATATGTGTTTGATCACTGAACCTAAAGCAAACAGGTTTGCTTGCTGAGTGGTACACAAACAGTAAAACTCCCCACTGCCACACTCAGGAAGAGATAGCATCTGTACACAGCTCAGGAGTGCTACAATGCTTTAAGAAGCTACACTTTCCCTGTGGAAAACTAGTTACCCCTCAGCCCACAGTGGGAATGAACAGCCTGGGTACATTAACGTGACAACTCTTTCTTGGCATTTCTACAAATGGTAAAATACCCAAGCAAAAGTGAATTGCCTGACCTTAATTTCAGCCCTGAGTTCAGAGAGTTGTGCTTCAGCCATCTGACTGGCTAGGTCTGCCAGTCTCTTCAGCTCCTCAGCTTTCTTCTGCCGAGCAGTCAGGATTTCCACTGCCAAATACCAATAGTCAGTCATTAATGCTACGAAGGTAAATTGCTCTGTAATTCATTACTTTTTGGCCATTAATATGATCCATCACATGATAAACACATGACACCTTCCCTTAACTGGACTTCCAGTATCCTGCTTGCACAAATTACGTCAATCAGCATATTTCACTGAACTGCCTGATTTTGAAAAAGATCTGAAAATGGGATAGCTGTCAGAARATTAAAGTTAAACCCTTCAACAGACAAACAGGGGCAAAGATGTGTTGTTTTGAGTTTTCCAGTGCTTTATTCTGAATCACAAATGCAGGGTGCCTTCCAGTGAGACATGGAAAGAAGCATTACATTGACTCACCAGCCTGTTTTGAAGACACACTGTATTTGATTTGCAMAGGGGAATTTCACTTCCTCTGAAAAAAATCTGTTCATATAGAGTTTACATTAAAATCCCTGGCACTGCAATTTTGCTTTCACATATGGAATATACACATTTGCCATTTCAATAGCAAAGCACCATTGAAGGCCAACAGTATGGAAAAAATACTAAATGTTTGTTACTGCCTGTCTTGTATATTCTGTGTAAGGAAGAGGTGAGTAGTCACATTCTTATAGGGAAAAATTAATCATAAACCATGAAACAATGATCTACTTACACACAAGATAATAYGACATTACTATTTTGGAAAACAAAATTCCACCAACATGTAAACTATAACTTACATGGTGACTCAGTGTAAAACCAGCAACTGATTAACTGGCTGATGGGATCAGTACTTATGGCAGAGAGGAAACAACATCTAAATGTAAAACAGTAACTATCATAGTCTTTTTAATTACACATACAGTCAGGGGGAGTGGTATTTGATGTGAACTATCCTAAGGGCACAGACTCCATTACAGCTGTGGAGAATCTGGCTTCTTTGCCTTCTTTTTGCCACAAATTTCCACAGCACACTTGACAAGTCATGCAACCAGCYGATACTTAATGCTATTTTCAAAGGTGAGAATTAATGGTATTTCACAGACAGTTTGATTCTCGACCCATTAGCATTAAATGAATCAGATAATGTCATATTTTGAAATATCACAGAATAATAAATAGTTTGGGCTGGAAGGGGCCTTTAAAGGTCTCTAGTCCATCCCCGCAGCAATGAGCAGGGACATCTCCAATGGATCAGGTTCCTCAGAGCCTGACCCTGAATTCTTCCAGGAATGAGGTATCTCCCCTCCTCTGGGAAAGCTGTTCCAATGTTTCACTGAGTTCACCATGGTCCAGCAAGCACAGGGAGACACAGCTGCACCTGTGGAGCTGTGTGGGAGCAAACTGTGTGACTGCAGAGGAGTCACACAGGGCAGGGAAGGCAGACAGTGGCTACAATTACTTTAATCCTGCTGGTAAATCTGTTAACATTATTACTTATGCTAAGAGCAGCTATGTATCTAYCTCTCCAAGTGATCTTTTAATTTCATTTTTTTGTAGAATACAGTCTACAAGAGTGAGAAAATTTTATCAGATTAAATGAACAGTTTACCAGCTGCTTACCTTGTCCAATAGTTCTGCTTTACTGCTTATTCTAGGTAATTCTAATATTGTTCTTCCCCAAAATCAACATACTCTTTGCTGTAGTGAATGACCAGATCATATGATCTCAYCTCAAACTGGCATTTATTTCCACGAGATGCCAGCCAAACACCCATTTAAAAAAAAAAAAAAACAAACCTGAAATTATAATATTTGGAATTTTTCCTACAGTTGACAGTAAGAATACGATTACCCATGCAAAACAGTCCTTGAGTGCAGCAAAGAGATATGAAAATAAAYAATACTGTAAATCTTGTCAGCATGTTCCAGTCCTATACCAATTTTCTGCCTAAGTTTCTGAAGGCACCTTACAGCCTACAACAGCCTAGAGAGAGAGCAGAAACCACACTGTTGGAATCAGGTACTGGGGCCATTCACTGTCATGGAGAACATGGGAACTGAACTTGCCATGTGCAAATACAGCACTTTGCATGAAGATAGGCAGGAATTAAGTTTACTTTTCACAAATAATCCTTGCCAAGATTAATGAAAGGGCCCTATAATACCAACAGCCCTGAACAGTGGATTTTTGGAAATTGTTCTTCCTGGGAATGAGTGCATGCACTGCAGCTGATTATGGCTACCTGGTATCTGCAGGTAACCAAAAAGCTGCTGATACATATYCATCCACAACTCCTTCCCAGAATAACACAGAGCTTAAAATCCAAATCTATTTCATGTCATTCYTAGAAAATTAGCAAATAAAACTCGAAACACAAACTAATGCAAATCTTTGCTATTGTAACTCATACCTTCTAGTTTCCATACATTACAACTGCAAGAGACTTAGGCAGCAACAGAGAATGTAGAGTACTTTTTAAAACAAAAAATTTATTAGTATACTTCTGTAAACTAAGTGAATTCTAAATGCAAATGAAGCATTTGTGACCCTGCTTGGAAGGACCTTAAATTCACAAATCAATAAAAGGACTGTATATGTTCACAACAATGACATTTTTTATCTGCCAAGAAAAGTATCGTTCAAATATTCTTTGCTTACTCTCTAATTTCTTGTTTAGCATTCTCTGTTGAAACATGCCCCTGTATTTACTGGGGGTAAATGCAAATACTGTGTCTTGGATGGTGTATAAGAGAGATACTGTGATATCCTAATACATGGCTCATGTTGCTTCTCCCCACTGCCACTCCCCAAATCAGAATATGTATGCATGAAAACACAAAAACCAAAGACAACCTGAAAACCTGGAACCAGATCAAGTCTCACAGATTATTAAGAAAACAGAATGCAGTAAACATYTGGTTTTGGATGTTTTCCAAATTTTCTAATTCACAAGCTTGATMACTTTCCCTTAAAGCTAGGCAAGGCAACACAATAACCTACTCCCTAATTCTCCCAGTATTCTAACTTATGTAGGTAATATAAGCAGGCAAACAATGATTGACAAATGGAAACAAAGTAATTGAATAACCATAGAAATGAGGAAAAAAAAAGTGGTCAAAAAGCTCTGATAGGTAAGCAGAAGGAATAAATAATTTAAAGCTAACTCCATATTACCTCTTGGTTTACCCTTATTTCCTAATATTGAAATTTTGATGCACAATCCTCATAGAAACTACCCTGGAATATCAAAGCCTTATCTGACTGTATACAGATAAACTCATCTTCACATATAGAGTGAAAGATGATGGAATACTGCTGATCAAACTTATGGATTGCATAATTTTCTGCCAAACAAAATAACTTTTTCCACAGTATTCCAAAATTACCCTGTGTATTTTTTTTACTTACTGGCTTCTTCTTTAACTTTATCAATTTCTGCCATTAATGACACTTCTTTGTCTACGATGCTAAAAAAGAAAAAAAAAGAAAGAAAAAAAATTAATTCATATAGAACTCCATCAAAATCAAAAACTGTAACTACAGACAGACTTAAGACATTAACCATGGGCAGTTTCGAAATAAGTAAGACTTAAAAACATTGAAGCTGAAGAAACACCTAGGTAAGCTGGCTACAAAAATGTAGTGATAATGTGTGTGTGCTGCTTTACACAAACATCTTCCATGTATTTGCACAGATGTGGAAGTCAGTCTGATTCAGCACAGCAATCCTCAAATGACTAAACAGTCTGTTTCCTAATTAAGCCAGATATACCACTGCTGCTAGCCAGATTAATACAGCTTAGTCTCAGCACAAAACTAAGAATGAAACAAAATTAAAGATGTGTGTAATGGGGTCCTTCTCTTCCTTAGAGGTAATTTTKCAAACTATGTCAGGGTAAACAAGAAAATGGTTTGCAATGTAAATAAGCATTAAAGTATTTCCATAAAAGAAGTCAACTTCCTTGCCCCCTATTCCATCCAGGATGGGAAGGAGTTGTTCCGCTTTCACCTGGCCTTCCTAAAGGAATCGTGTGCCTCTCCTTTCACAAATGTCTGGTGTGCAATCCCTGACAATGCTTATAAAGCTGTCAAAGTGCAAACTGATCAGGGGGGTCTACTGAGAGCACAGAGGACACGTGGTAAACTGGTCACATCAGGAATGCAGGGATATTGTCCAGTGGCATAACATCTCTACAGAATGCTCTCCAGGGAACAATGCTCTGGTGTGACATTTCATTTCCCCTCACTGATTATTCTTGAAGTTAAGTTCACATTTAATAAACAGCACCAATATTAATGTGTTTGCATAAGTGAGTAAATTCAAACAGCTGGTGGGGAAATTGCAAAAAGTAGGTCAAACACCAAGAGTACATCTAGGCATGCACTCAAGGCAAGAGTGGAGCTCTCAACCCTTTTAGTAACATCAGCCTTGAACATTATTAGCTTTTGTATGCAGTGAAGACACTCAATTACATGTGAACAGGCTCCTACTGAAGGAAGACATTACAGAAATCTTAAAACCCAAAATATTTGTCTAGAACATTCTTAGCTAAAAGGGAAGATCCTGCAGAGTTCAGTGGRCAGTAAACAGAGACAGAAGACTTACAGAGAGAAGTAATGACAGGTCCTTAACTAAAACTGAAACTAAATTGGTGATCAGGCAGTGTGGGGACATGGCAAACACACAGCTGACAACCAAACATTTACCAGCTACAACATGCTCAAGTATCATTCATCCTTCCTTGAAATCTTCCAACCAACCCCATATACAAAGTTTGCAACAGAAGCTCTACAGTCTTCTGCCCTCAGGTTTTCCCAGTCAAATATGCCCCCTGTAGAGGAGGAGACCTTTACATTGTCCCCCAGTAGCCAACAGGAGGGACTGTAGCAGATTGGCTGATGGCAAAGGTTGCAGCAAGAMAACACAATTGCAGTGTAACACTTTTTTTTTTTTTTGTATCATACATAGAAACAAGACTAAAAACATTGTTTTGGCATGCCAGATAAATTTAGTTCGACCTACACACAAGAGGAAACAAAACAGCAGGGGTTTTTTACAGTAGAGCAAATTAGTTAAGAGGCAGGCTCTGACAATGGAAGGACACACTTGTTCCAGTTGGCATTCAAYATTCCCAATGCAGAAGCATTAAGCCTAAATTCCAAATAAGCAGGTGATGATTTCAGCTTGCTAATCTAAATAGTGATGGCTTCTCAGAATTAAGCTATTTTCAATTAGGTTTTGTAACTACATGATTTAATAAACTTCTTTGACTTTCAGAATAGGTGGTGGAAACTAGTCCTGTAAGTTCTTACCTATTTCTATCCTCCACAAAGAGAATCTAATAATCTTTAGTATTTTCATTTAAATTTAAAAAAATTGCAGATTTTTGCTTTTTCTGTCTCTGWTAWCARAGTGCCTCCSTRGTGCACRACACAGGTTATATATACATMAACTTTTGTCTGGAAAACATATTCAAGCAACAAGGTCACAAYAGCAGAGCTCATCAGAACTGTGTTTTAGTGCAGCTTGTTTCAGGACTGTCCTCTCTGCAGTCTAACAACACATCCTTACTAAACTGGTTGGCCCTTAACTTTTAATTCTGATGCCAAATAAAACCACTTTTAATACCAGAATGAAAACAAGGCCATAGCAGTCCCATATTTAGCATATTTCACAGTCAAATCTTATCTGTTACTAGACAGTTTTCCACTCCTASTGTTTAATTTTGGTCTCTGATGAACATTTCAGGAAAGCATTTGGATGTTGTAGCAGTAGAGGACAGTACTGATGAATTGCTGGAGAACAACTGCCCAAGTATTTCCCTTCTAGCTACAAACAAACATTGGAAAAATAAAGAATAAYACAAGAGAAAAAGTGTTTGATGCCTTTGTCCAGGTACGACTAGTTAATATGATAAACTAAGTTTCTTTAACAGACAGACCTTCATGAGGTTTCCCTTCCCTGAAGGCAATGCAGCTGTACTAATTTGTATCAGCAAAGAACATGCACTCTCTCCTTCTTGGCTAAAGTAAAAGGAACATACTAATTTTCCTCTGGAAGCATCCAATCACATTGCTCAGCTTGGAAACCTTAAACTGCCATATGTCATATACAGAAAAAGTTAATGTTTCTTCAGAAACCACCTAGACCTATCAGCACCAGCAAATGTAAAAGTGAGCAACATTTCCTCCACCAAGAACTTGTCAAAGTTATAAACAAATCAAAACAACAGACAGAAAAGCAGAAAAAAAACTTGGCTTGGGGAAAAAAAAGACATAAGACAAACGTTTAACAAGAAATCTAAATGCTAATACATAGAAGGAGAAAGGACAAGAACAATGTGGAAAAATCAGTGGATCAAATCTTGTCTCTCATTCTTGCTAGGATTCTGCTGTTTTCACACAATGGTCTGACAATCACTTAAGTTGAAGAGCTCCTTATCTTAGGATTTTAACAATTTTAAACATATTTTCTGGAAAAATGCCCTACTCAGCCTCAATACTGTTATCATGATCAGAGTCCAACAAAAGCATTATTGAGAACTGCTCAAAGCCCAGCACAGCAGGGAAAGCAGCTCAGCAGCCCAGCTCCCAGGAAAGCATTTTCTTTCCATGCCTCTTAGTGTCCATTTGACACTAAAATGTTGTACCAAGCTGGYACACTCCAGAGCACAGCCTGCAGCCATTGGTGTGCTGTGGAGAACTGGATACTGAGTGCTACAGGAACTTTCTGCACACTCAGGTATGATCAGATTTGAGCTCTAGCAGAGCAAGGAACAGAATGWATGTCAGATCTAAAGACACCTGAGGGAAAATGTTCTGATAATTCCTTCCTCTCTAGTTATGCTGTTTCTCTTGGGTTTTCTTGGTTTGGAACCAAGTTTAAAATCATGAACATACTTTTTTTTCTGATTACTCTGAGCACTAAAAATCTGAAAGGCATAGCTGAAGCCATACCTTCTTACCTTGAATATCAATATCAACACTTGAATATATTCCTATGTACCATTTGAGACTCTTGTGACAAATACACAACTCAGAACCATTTCTTTCTTTGAATGTACCTGAATCTATGCTCTAAACATCAGTCCATAGATTGCCCTGCTACAGTAGACTAAACACTGGGACCTCAATTCCCCCCTACATTGACCAGACTCAAGACAGACCTAAATCGAGTGAGTCTTATCTCCATGACTGATGATATAGAAAAAAACATKATTATTTCTTCCTTTTCTGTCTCCYTTCCCCCCATCTATTTCCTGAAAGGACTCTCTCCTTACCCTAAACTTTTTTAGGATCAGGACCTGGTACCAAACTTGAGCTATCAGCACCATATCACTGCTCAACACAGGCAAGTATCTACAGTTTGGAGCACAGGATTTAGCAYTGTTTGAGCTTAATATCCACATGAAATTTTGAAGTGTGACTCGGTGAGACAATTTTGTTGAGGGAATATGGCAAAAGAGAGGCTTAACACAGAAGGCATACAAATGAGACACAGCCAATGCTCATGCTGTAGAGTTATGAGATGCAGCAGGAGAGAGAGCAGCTCTCTAGGAATCAATCTGCTGAAGTGATTCTGAAGGCAAAACCATAAGTGTCCTATTCCTGGTCAAATGAACAGTACTCATGCCTTGGCCTTGCACARGCTGGCAGGATTCACACTGGTTTACTATGGCAAAAGAGCTGCAAATGCCAAACTACAATGAGCTGCTGGCAGAGCAATGATAGGGGCAAATTATGCTGACAGCTGCTTCATTTCACAGTTTCATACTCAGAACAAATTCTGAATTTGTTCTGACATTATTAAAAACAAATTAATCTTCCTCTAGTTTACTGCATGAAATCTTGTATTTGTACAGTGAAAAAGAAAATATATTTTCAGTCAGCTGCAATACCTCAAAATCCCCCTAAAATGATTAAAGTTATTGGTGCCTCTTGAGAAAAGCTGCTTCAGAYTGCCAGGCTGGCTGATTTATAGCTTTAGTGATGAGAATCACAAGGGTTCCAGATGACCAGAATCTTCTCTTTGCTTCTGCCTCTTCTAGGCACTATGACAAACCTATTGTGCCTGAAGAGATGGGGAAATAAAAAGACCAAGCTGACATGGAGGCAAACAGGCTGACACAGCTCACCAAGGTAAGCCTGAGCTGCATGGCAYAGAGGTTACTGTTAAGTGTAATTCAAACACTTTCACAACCCTGTTAAACCCCTCAAAATGCCAATTTTCTTCTTGGGGGATTTAATAAGCTTTACTCTCCCTGAACCAGCTTTGTGCAGTTTGAGAATGACTGTTCTTCTGGAGACTGAGGAACACAGTGTCAGCTGTGGCTTCCTAAATAACTGCAGCACGGCTCTTCATCTGGAAGGGGAAAAGAGCTATTTTTTCAGGGCCATCCTCTGAGAGCTGGCTCAGCAGGAGAGCTGCTGAACACTGAGGTACAATTTGAGTGCTTTTTTTGAGTAG